ATAACGGCTAGATAAAAAACAACCGTCCCTAGTTTTGCTTAGTGGAGTGAGCGAGTAGGGTTAACACCGCTTTAACAGTTCTTCCGTGTTATAACGGGGTGCCATCTTGATGTGCGAGGAAAGCCACGGGTGATAGATGTCTCAGGCGTTTACCGTTACAGCGATATCCATGGGAACGGGCATGCATGGTGTCGACTAGACTAACAACTAGTCTCTGAAATGAACATTTTTTACTGGAAAAAAATTCATAGTAAAAAAAAAATAATATATAATGAAAAGGAGCCCTGAGACTTTCTTCATTTTCAGAGCTGAGGAAATCTAGACTTGCCAAATTTTCTAGACTTGCGTTGGGCTTTCTTGGATATATTTGCTTCAGGGTCTGTATGACAGACTAGGTGTCGACAAACCAATGAGGATCAGCATCTAAGCGAAAGTGGGATTCGAACCCCCAAATAGCAGCCCAGATAGTACATTTTACTAAAGAAGTAAATGTTTCATTGTGATTAAGGGAATTCCCGAACAAATATTATTTTTCCCCTATAGGTATTTCAATTTCCTGTCCTTTCAGTGTGAATTATCATTTAATCAATGCTCCTTTCGTTCAATCAAAAAATGGGGGAGGTGGGGTAGCCCAATGGTTAAAGCGTTCGTCACGCCAAATACCAGGATAGGATTGCCTACATGGGCACAGTATGTGAAGTTCATTTCTGGTGTTCCCCGCCGTGATATTGCTGGAATATTGCTTAAAACATCACCCACTCATTCAACCAACCATGAAAAATATTTATCAAGCATTCTAACCATCATGATATCAGTAAGCCGTCCATTAACTTAGCGACCGCCTCCGTGGTGTAGTGGCTAGGGCGTCCGCCTAGAGAGCGGAAGGTCGCGGGTTCGATCCCCGGCCGCGTCATACCAAAAGACGTTATTAATTTATATGGTACCAGCTTAATTCTGCATGGGCTAGTACAAGCCACACGCATGCACGTCGTCATATGAGCGAAATATTCTTACGTGCGACGTTCACCTCACCTCACCATGAACAAGACAGGAATTCACTATGCAGAGTTGCGTCCCTTAACAGTGGCAGTATCAGCTGTTCTTGACGGCGAATTGTGATTGCAAGATCATGTATCTTTATATATCTGCTACATATATCAAATGAAATACTGCCAAGCGGAGTTAAGTTAAACCGAGCTCACTTCATGTAAATGTTTCGTTACCAACGCTACAGCCGACATATTCTAATAACACGCGTATGTGACTTTGTCCATAGTGTTGGCTGCATGAAGTTTACAGATGTCTATATTCTTGTGATAAGATGGAAAGGGACGCAGGCTCCTTGAAGTCTCGGGGACGAACGTGAGAAATACCGAGATCACATGTTTTCCGTCTGTCAGATTGTCGTCTGCCAAGCGGCGCAGGACAGCAGGGAGTCATGAGCGCTTTGTCATGTTCGACTTAGGGTTTTTTTTGTCGAGGACGCAATCAGCACATTCTCCTGGATGTAATGACAGCTGAGTGACGTTACTTCACACCAAAATAGCCGAACAAACACTGTGTTTTGAATCACCGGTTCATTAAAGGAGGTGGTCGCTGCGAGTCCAGAAGTTGGCAGAACTACACTTTCAAAGGGATGCGTCAAGTGTCTGATTGAATCAAGTGTCTGACTGCCTCACTGACACACATTAAATGCGGGACTTCGAGGTATGTTTATGTGTCTATGTTGATTGTTGGATTTGATACGACAGGAAAGTGTTAACGTCGTAACCTTTACGACATACACTTAGGCATTCAAAAGATTTGGTTAACACATGTCATCGTATCCAAGATGCGTGTTGTCAGTCAATGGATTGCCATGTCCAGACTGGGTTTTTCATAGACTTTCGTCATGTCGAAATGTTGCTAAGTGCGGCCTTATAACAACGGAGCAACAAACATACGAAAACAAAAAAAAAACAACCAAAAAATAAAAAACGAACAGTGTAAGGTATTTGTTTTAACCATTGTTAGTGAGCTTTGTCATTTTCAAGACCAGCTGGGGCGGTGAGGTAGCCTAATGGTTAAAGCGTTGGCTCATCACGCCGATGACCCGGGTTCGAATCCCCACATGGGCACAATGTGTGAAGCCCATTTCTGGTGTCCCCCGCCGTGATGTTGCTGGAATATTGCTAAAAGCGGCGTAAATACCAAACTCAGTCAGTCAGTAAAGACCAGCTGATCCTGTCCATGCTAAGAGAGGTAACTCTACGGCGAATTACTGCATCTCAGATACGGGTGTGTCACCCGTCAAAATGGAAGGAATATCAGCTGGATCGGAATGGGATGATCAGGATTGGTAGTTTATTTGAAGTGTGTCATAGTATTCTTAAAAGGTCAAAAGGCTTAAAAATAAGAAATTTCTAACAAATTCGACCATAAAAATAATGGTAACCGTCATGAGAACTTTAACGTCGCGGTTGATTTAGTGAAAAGCAAGGGCGACAGAAAGTCGGGAGTTTACGCAAACATGAAGGTGACAGAGAGAGATAGGTAATTTTCATGATTGTTTCGATGTTGTCAGTTCTTTATTCATTTGGTCAGCAAAGACCCTTTATCGTGTAAAAAAAACAAATCAAAGAGGTGACAGAGAATTAATTAAGAGGTGTTTTAGTGGTCACATACACTCGGCTAAATTTCCGGTTAAGACAAAGATGAGTACATAATCTGATTGAACTTTTAACGTATCAAATTTCTGTAACAAGGCATGTGACAAACAAAGGTAGGGTCGAACACCTGAGTGTGAGTGAGTGTGTTGGGTTCTGGGCCTATAGCAATATTCCAGCAATATCACGGCTGGCCCGGGGACACCAGAAATGGGCTTCACACAATGTACCCATGTGAGGAATCGAACCCGGGTCTTCGGCGTGACGAGCGAACGCTTTAACCACTGGGCTACCCCACCGCCGCTAACACCTTATGAATATACCTTGAACGCCAGCAGAGTTCGTGCGGGCTTTGCAGCTGTGTTACAGTTCTAGTTTTTAGATAGAGTGGTGGTGGTGGAATTGGGTTTAACGTCGTGCTTGAGAATATTTCGCCCATACGACGACTTGCATTGCGTGTGTATGTGTATGTGCGGCTGTTTGTACTAGCCCAGACTGAAGCTGGTTTTATAGTGCTAGCCCACTGAGATACCATGCCACAGTGAAGCATGAATACCCCACTCAGACACATTATACTGACTCCGAGCCGACAGGTCCTTGTTGTACCCATTAATGCCGAGCGCCATGCAGGCAGGGACCAACAAGTACCATATCTTAACTTTTTTGGGTATGACGCGGTCGGGGATCGAACCCGCGACCTTCCGCACTTTTAGATGGAGTGATGCAAAGTAAAGCTATGTAATTATAAACCTTGTGGAGCGTTAATTTTCGGATGGTGAAGGTGATGTTAACAATGACAGTAAGGAGTCCGGTCGTCCGATTACTCACTCCTTCATTTGAGGACCCTCGACGGACCAGGCGAGTGTAGAGTCATAACTTACACATCATATATAGCTTCTGACAACGTAGAACGGCAATATGAGTAAGATATGTCTTAGTAACTGTTATAGGGTCACCTGCACTCTATTCGCTTTCGCGACAGTGTTCAAACTGGATTTGGGTTATTTGGTCCTGACCCGATGTTTTCGCTGAGTGCCTTCTATGTTGTATTTTTTAAAAGTGTTAAAATTGAGGGAGGTATGTTTCATGTTTCACACTCTTACGTTTAGTTTTTAATAACAAAAGTCTTTGTGAAAAAATACGAAAGGGTAAACTGGGGACATATCAAACATGAACGTTTCCGACATACTTAATGAAAAAAATCATGTATCCAATTTCTGGACTCATTTGAAAGTCACGAAAAAATTAAAGTTTCGAAATTATAAAGAGGATATATTCGTGCGGACCAACACAGTGAAAAAAGTATATATGGCAAAAAATAATGAAAGAAAATTAATCCGATTCACTGCTGTAAATATATGATGAGAAAAAAGGAAAATAATTTGTTTTAGAGTGATTTGGTCGTTGTTTCTGCTTGCGAACGATCCTGACAAATCCCAGAAAAAAAACCCCGTAAACCCCTAGTAATTAAAGCCTTTAACTGACAGGTGATTGGTTAACTTGTTTGAGTGGCATTTTTAGAAGTTGAGACGTACAATATGGAACAAGTTTTTATGGATAACAACTTCTTTATTTCGTTTCGATACAGATTCTTGTACCGTTGTACTCTTGCTTGACAACGGTACAAGAATCTGTATCGAAACGTCGCACTCACGAATTATAGAAGTTGTTATCCATAAAAACTTGTTCCATATTGTAAGGTGATTGGTTGTTCCCGTCGTGACGTAGTTGGGATTAGTATCTAATTCGGCGTGAAACTAATATTCATTCACGATCTCATTATGTAGAGCATCCTCGATAATCTCCAGGATATACGTTCCAGTGGTACCAGTGGAGATTTATCGGAACGTATACCCTGGAGATTAGTCTCTCGTACAGACCCTGAAGCAAATATATCCAAGAAAGCCCACACAAGTCTAGAAAATGTGGCAAGTCTAGATTTCCTCAGCTGAAAATGAAGAAAGTCTCAGGGCTCCTTTTCATTATATTTTTTTTTTTACTATGAACTTTTTTCAGTAAAATATGTTCATTTCAGAGACTAGTTGATAGTCTACCTGGAGATTATCGAGGTTGTATACAGAGCGACGTACGTAACTAGGAAGTTCTACAATTGTTCAAATACAATTTGCCGATAGAGAAAATGTTTATTAACTCCGTAAATGGTACTCGAATGTGCTTGTTTCAAGATGGGTTTATCATGCTGTGTCTTGTCTGAATATCGAAGTAATTATAGAAATAATAGGAAGAGGTGTATCATATCTGACGTGATTGCGAGATATTGTAAGGGAAGTAACCCGTGGGTGGCCTTCAGATTTCACGGAAATCCCCGAAAGTAAGTGTCGGAAACCCAGACAAAATGGCTGACCGGAAGTAGGCTGGGTGATCGCTATCACACAAAATATTGAACCAAAACTTGATCACTTTGATCAAAAGATGGCTAAAACGAATTTAATACTTTTGACTTAGTTAAGGAATGGAAGCAGGCAGACAGGAAAATCAGGTGAGTGGTCGTTTAGAGTATTTCTATCGTTTGGATTTATCGCAGGTACATGCTTGTAAATTCGTGACATTGTGTTTGACAGGTGAGTTCTTTATGTATTGGTATCGGTAGAATTTTGTGCACGTTGTCATATTATGTAGTATTTGAGTCCCGAAGGCTTTGTTTGTTATTTTCAAGTCCATGCTTACCGTTAGTAAGCCAGTATTTATGTGGAGAATGTATGTTTTGTTTCGGTTTTGTGTCGTTTGTGAGATGTTTGTGATGATCTACGAACGAACTTCGGTTATTGAATGTTGACCCCGAAGAGACACTCGGAAAGATTTAATCCGACTACTTTACACTCAAGGTTTTCTTTAATCTATACTTTTCCAAAAACTTATCTAAATAGCTTCTTTCTGGTTACCCAGCTGGTTAGGGGTAATATCTTTTATTTACTAATCACTGAATCAGTGTTTTTCTATTACAGTGATACTCGATTATTTTCCGGGTTTTGATATTTATGTTACAAATCATGAAGTGATATTCGTTAGTTTAATAGAATCAAAGTATCATGTTTTCCTCTAATAAACAACCCAGCACATATTCTATAGATACAGTGTTGCATACTGTAACAAATATATTGACATACTATGTGATAACATGCATTTGATAAAGTGTTTCAAGATAGCAAGCTAGAGTTAATGAAATGAGATTGCAACAAAATCAGGCCCTCCTATCTATTTGACGAAAAAGTGTTAAATGGGATTATAATGATGGCACATTGGTAGCATAACTTCCGTATTGCAATCTAATGCATTTACTATTCGAACAAAAAGAGGTACTATCGGATTTGACAGCGGCCGTTAGTGGAGTACGTGTACAGAAAATACTATGTGTGGAGTGTCGACATATGACTTCAAAACTGATTTTAGGGACCGTTCATAATTTATGCCTAGTGGGGGTGATGATGATATTTATGAAGAAGCACGTACAATATGAATGACACTGCCCCACCCACCCGTAAAATTTATGTACAAAGTAAGGGACGCCTCGTTGATGTCATGTACAAATTGCTGATCTCCCTTCTAGTACATGTGCACAAAATTGATGACCCACCCACCTCTCCAGAAGAAAATGGATGGAACAACAACCTCCCACCCCCTTTAAAATCATCAACATCCCCCTAGCCATAAATTATGAACAGTCCCTTATAATGTAAAGAACAGTTAAAGCTAGTATAACTGATGCTTATTCTGTTTTGTAATTTGTACATTTATCAGTAAAATACAGTATGCTGATTTTAAGATGGTATTAGTGTTTGATTGTGTTGTTCGAAGGATAATTGGCTATTGGTATCCCAACCAATTCATCATGTACACAGGTTTGATAACAGAAAACAATTTACGGAACAGAAAAATGTTCAACATTCTCAAGTTACATCTATTTTCCTGTTCAGGTCCAAATGAAATGTGTTTTGTATTATTAGTGCTGTATTTGGTTTCTTAATGAAGTATTCAAAATTAAGTATGAAAGTCAGGGTGTTCTTGTAATATTGAACAATATTTTGGTCTTAAGTTTCAAATACCATGGTGTAAGAAATCGTCCCAGGATGCTCCTTATTTTCAAATGTGACACCCTCCATAGTCTAGGGCATTTGGTCGGAGATTGGACAGTTCAGTTTCCAGCTGCATCATAACTAAAGACAACTTAAATATGGTACATGGTGTACTTGTTGTGCATGCAGCATGAAGGGGATTAGACTATGATTTATCATCCCTGAGTCATTTCTGGTGTCCCCCGCCATGATATTGCTGGAATATTGCTAAAAGCGTAAAATCAAACTCAGTCAGTCAGTCAGTCATCATTGTAGTGAAATTGCAACAATCTCTGACACATTGTGTAACCTGATTTAACCCCACCCAGGGCTTGATTTAGTGCTTTGTTATTTGCACTGGTGCAGCCCAATACTACAAGGTGCAACCACTTTATTAGTCTTACTTGCATCATGTGCAAGTTAATTTTTGAGAAATATATCAACAATAATTCTAACATTGTTTCAGCAGCATATAACTAATTCAATAGCATATTTCTTTCTTCACATTTTGCAAAAAAGCAGTGCAACTGGAATTTGGCTGGTGCAACTAGGTCTTTATTTCAGGTTGCACCTGGTGGAAGTAGGTTAACATCTATTAAATCAAGCCCTACCAACCTCACTGTCTTATCAATTTTTGGGACTTGAATGTGAATGTGACACAAACAAGGATTTGAAAGATCCAAGTTCAGACAACAGGTGTGGTGAGGTGAAATTGGGTTTAACGTCGTGCTTGAGAATATTTCGCTCATATGACGACGTGCATGCATGTGTATGTGCGGCTGCTTGTACTAGCCCGACTTAAGCTGGTTTTATAGTGCTAGCCCACTGAGATACCATGCCGCAGTGAAGCATGAATATCCTACTCAGACACATTATACTGACTCCGAGCCGACCAGTCCTTGTTGTACCCATTAATGCCGGGCGCCAGGCAGGGACCAAGAAGTACCATATTTTAACATCTTTTGGTATGACGCGTTCGGGATCCAACCCGCGACCTTCCGCTCCCCTTCAGACGACAGAATTCGCTTGATATTTTTCGAAACAACTCATTATTTCGGTCATTATGAGATATGTCAAAACATATACAATTTAATTCGGATTGTATCCAAGCTATTTTTTACAGTAGGTGAATCTGAAGCATAGTAAATCAAAGCAAAAACTGATATTTGTCTCATTGTAAAAGTATCATGATGATATTTTTTAAATGATTTACAAGTCATTCTTCCCGAGTGTTAATGGTCTGGGAGACTCTTGAGTTCTAGTGAATCACTTGCAAGTAAAAATATGATTTATGAATGGCAGTAAAGTCATCAGTCAGTACATACAACTCTGTGCATTGTTGAGCCTGTTAATATGTAATTAGCTCTTGGTGTCATTTATAGTTCTTTTCTGTTATTACACACAGAGAAACTAGATTAGTCAATGACAAATTACAAGATACAGGCATAGGGCTTGAAATCCAAGAATTGTAGTTATACTGACTGATTTTCTTTTTTGAGGATTTGTGTTAGTGAAAGTCTTAAAGGTCACATGCAACCAAAAAATCAAACATAATTAAAACACAATTATCACTTCTTCATGACATATAATATGCATTGCTGATTATGAAAAAACAAATAAACAAAATTATAAGCGTATAATCGCAAATCAAAAGTGCAATATTTTGTACTTGGGTTTACCTCCCTCGAAACGAAGCAGCCGGGATACCGAACCCAGTCAGAGCGGGTGGGTGTGCACTCAAGTGTAACGGCTGGTTCATTAGCAGATGCCGCCTTCACGGCTCATTTGTGTATGTGTATATATAGAAAGTTGGGTTTTGTAAATACATGCTCATTTTTTGTGTATAACATTTTGCAATCAACAGACATCATAACATGTCATGTGTTCAAGTATCACACCTGCCTGTCTGTGTAATTACATAATGTGACAGAGACCGAACTCGGGCCATAAATCAATGCGTTTTGTTTATGGTGTATAGCCTGATTGGTGTTAAGTTCAAATTGCATGTGGTCAGTGATCGCAGTTGTGTATTGAATATTGTCATTAGCAGACAGGCAGGCAGACACACTGGTGTCAATAAAACAAGACATTGAGTTTTGTCTGTGACAGCAACATATCTATATCACAGTTAGAAATCGTGTCAACTCTAAATAATGACATTGCTTTTAAGTATCGAACTGAGAAAGTGACTCGGTAAGAAGAACGTGTGGTGAAATAGATAAATGAAATTATATAAACAAGTTATTTACTGTCATAACATACAAAAAGCTCGCGCCTGTGAGATATCAACAAAACATTATGAAACTAGCTCACACCAAAGCCTTCACCGAGTATTCACCAGACAGCCCCGCTTCCAAGTTGCGCGAACCTATTTCACTGCGCACGTGCTATGAGCGCAGCCAGCTGTTGAAACCCGTATTCCCCAGAAAGTCTGGGGAAAATTAGTGAAACGTTTGAACTCCGATTTCGCGTTTTTTTTCATCGCGTTATTTTCAACTTTATAAGTTGAATTTGCATTTTGGCTTTTTTCGGTAAGTCCATACCGAAGGTATCAGAATCTGCAAAGTTGTGTTTTACGTTGCATGTGACCTTTAAGATTTATGGTTGACATCGGTAACTGCCAGCTTCCTGCTTTTAAGCAATCGTTGAGTGGCATTTAGAAGCTAGTACGATAAACAGGAACAATTTTTTATGGATAGACTACTTTATTGCAATGGATGCATCGTTTCTTACTTGATAATGGTGTTAGCATTGACACTTAAATGTCACATCCTTTGAAATAAGGAAGGTGTCTATCCTTTAAGATCACATATACTCTAAGGGGTTACAAATACTCTAAGGGGTTACAAATACATAAGACACTAATTGGCATCATTATAAATGAAACCCTGTCATTAAAACTACTCATTTCGATCTTTAATTAACTTAAATTGACCTTTATGACAACAGTGCACAATTCTCACCCGCGAACGAAATTTCAACCAATCAGATCGGCGCGTCTCTGTGACGTCATATGAGGAATAGATATGAGGGCCGATGCAGAATTCATTTACATTTCAGGGGGTAAATTATCTTGTTTACAGGTTTGTAGAAACCTGAAATCCTGACAACTGTTGTGAAAAATGAAAGCTATATGTTCTCACAATCTACTGTCATTTAATTTTGTCTCCTGCTTTGCCTAGTTTCCGAGTTACAACTTGTTTTCATAGACGATTCTGTCAAAATCGCTTGTGTCGCTAGGCCTTAATTGTTCGAGCCAGACGCTAGTGATAGTGAAAACGATGATCAGCCTCGCTCATCACGGTTACGGTTAATTTCTTCAACCTAAACAGTGCGACATTAAGAAGGGTGGATTGCCATCAGATGCAGTTATTTGAAAATATCCCCGGTAGTTGTTGTCTGATTGTAATAAAGTATCAAAGCAGTG